TGAATGAATACTTGAACAATACTGTTTTGGTATAAGCTTGGTTGTTTGGGGTCAACTCTTAACCAACCAACCTGAGCTGTTACAAGAGAACAAACCAGCTTCCATCTGAAGAGGAAATCAAGAAGAGACGTTGGAAGCGGATATACAGTGCGGAAATCATCAAACTGCATCTCGACGCAAGCTATAACTTGGAATCCTGAAGGGAAACGGAAAAAGCGAAGGCCGAAGAACACACTGCGCTGAGAAGTGGCAGCAAGCATAACTAAGGTGAATAGCAACTGCAAAGAATTGTCCAGGACAGGGTTGGATGGACAATTCTGATAAGCGTCTATGCTCTCCGACGAGGGGCAAAAGGCGTATGTAATTCTAGTTTTTAACGGCTTATTATAAGATAAGCAAATTACGACCCCCTGATAACGTGTCCATAGTGAATTCTCTGTTAAAATTCTATGAGTCTATTTTAAGTTTTGGAAAGATCACAGTAGTTCGGATTGTTTGCGACCACTGAATCATCTTTATCTTCCTGCTAACTATTATATGAGCAATGAATGATCTCTGATTGACAAAAGGTTACTGTTGGATGCTCCAGAAACCATTCATTTTAGGATTTATTTGTTATTACAAGTCAATGAACCTTTCGAGTCTCTGGGTAACCTTCGTCCTGATGATTGAAGAAATCAAGCTAACAGTGGATAAGCATTTATTTTTAAATACAAGGCAGTGTCGAGCGCGAGGTCACCTTTTCAAACACACAAAGCTATCCAACACTCAACACAAAATAATAGGAATTATAATCCCTACATAAAATAAGGAGGTGAATGAAGACTTGAGCTTTAATGTCCAGACATTTACTTAAATGCATAAGGTTAAGTCTTAACCACTTGATTTATAACTGCTCCTGGCCTCACTTTATGGAGACGAACGAAATATAAACCCTACTTAATTTTATTCATACTCCGTTTACCTATCAATCCAGTGAAACTTAGAAAATTATAGGTCAAATGTGGAAATTGTTTCAAACGTTCATGTACCCAGTCAAGCCAAGAGAGTGAATTAACCTTTCAGCCAATATCAGTGATGAAAATGTAGGTCATTTTTTATATCGTCAAGAAACGAATACACTAGAAATGAGCAATTAAATCGTTGACAATGGACACACAAAAATGACAAATAATGAGGAACTACAATTATTAAGGCCACATAGTACAGAGGAATATATTCAATCCCAAATGCTGTCAGAACTACTGATCTTTACGAAAGTCAAAATAAGTTCACGTCTTCATTATAATAGAGAGGGGACCACATATTTATTTGAGGATGAGGTAATTACTTGCTCACTAAATTACATAAGCCCTTTACACTTCTCAGAGAAGAGACCTGTAGATCACTGAGGCAGGTGACCTTTGTTGAATGATTGGGAACCCATTCGAGCTAGACGGGAATGGTATGACCAACAACTAACTTCGAAATAACACCTCGCGGTCAGTACCTAACCTTGACTGCCTCTTCGTCATATCAATGTACTATGGCTGCTTTGAATACCGTGTAGTGTGGCGTCCAATCGCGGTTGACTATGATCACCATCACAAGAAGGTTGCGTACCCGATATCAGAAGGCGATTGGAGATTGTAGCGAGATATATTTGTTGACAATCTCGTGGTATCGAAAGAATACCGAGATCGTGCCAAAAGAGTACTAGCGGAATCATCGACCAAACGTAAGCACGTGCAAGGTCACAATAAACGGAAGGAAGAATGTCCTTAGTACAGTTAAACAGACAAGTACAGCAAGACAATCACTGGTACAATTGGTTGTAATAACAAATGTTTCCATCAAACCAATCGCGTTCTCTTGATAAAAGTAGGTCACTACAGAAGCCCCCCGCTAGAAAGGGCTTGCACTTTCGATGCTTAGCGGTTTAGTTCGTGGGACTGATCGGCGAACGTGCGATTGTAGGACGAGAGGGTTGGCAGAGCAAGGGGCGATTAATACGAGAGAGCTGTAGACATTTGGTTGAATAAACCTTCTTATCGTATATTAACAATTTTACTGTGTTTTCGGGTGTATTTGTTTTACTTAACCTTTGAACTTGTTTGTTTATATCATTCTTTTCAAGCATTTTGGTTTCTCTTTGTCATTAGTTTGGTATTTGGGAGTTTTTGTTCCGGGAACATACAAAATTGAAGGTTTTTTTGTAATTATTATGATGATTGTTGTTAGAACGACATTTGGGTTGACTATTTGTAAATCGTGAATAAACTTTGGTACATAAATTGGAATTTGGTTCTGTTCTTAATTTGGGTCCGTGAATTGCAAATAGAACGAGCAAAACTTGGAAGTGACAGAGATCGTTGATCCTCGAGTTGTCACCGAAGATATTTTACGTGGAGCGGTACCAGGAGAATCGTGCTGTACTTGCTGCTCGAGTTAGCGTACCACACCAGAGTGGTTTGTATCCAGGATCTGAGAATTGCGTTCGTAGGGGTGCGGACCAGAAAACGCTGCAGACGTAGGACGGAACCACAACTGAGATAGGGAACCAGAGCAACCATAACAACCAATCGCGAGACCAAACATATGACAGACAGATTCGAAACCAGAATATCGACTGAGTGCATTGACAAAAGCGTGGGTGATCAGGCCAGCTTTCGCCAAAATTGACTGAAGTCGACAGTAGCAAACAGGTGATGGTCAGCGGCGTGGTCTCAGGATACACAAAAATCAAAGGAGAGAAATGTGTAGCATGCATGTAATATAGGAATAGTCTCACACCGTATCCGCTGTCGATTGGGTGGTTAGTCGCGAAAGTGTATGGGTAGGCGTACTCGGTGACTGGAACGTGAGACAGTAACCTCGTTCGTACTTTGTGAGCCTGCAATCTCATCCGAAGTCAAGTGCAGCGTGGTCTGCTGATCTGGACGTGAGACTGAAGTGTCATCTGTTGGTGGTGCAGATGACACGCGCTGTTGACTGGGACATGGGAATGAGGTCTCTGATTTATCGAGCGTGGGTTCTGCAGTAGATGTAGAGATCCCGTTAGTATGCTTGATGGGTCTAGCACCGGGTCTCAAGTTATCAGGTAGGGCACTGTCATCGACGTGTGCGGGTCCGAGACGATCAATGCTGACTACCTCGATACAGCCAGGTCGATCACCCTTGAAGGTCTTTTCGTAACTGGAAATCACGTGAAAAGGTCCTGCGTAAGGCTGCTGAAGAGGTTTGCGTACCGAATCTACTCGAATGAAAACATGTGAACGGGTAGACAACTCTCAAGGGAGAGCGACCTGTCGATGCTGTGTTCGAGGTGACACCGGATTCAGTGTTCGCGAAAATTCAGACGATCATTGGACGTGGTCTGATTTACTGAAATCGTTACTGCCCTGTGGTGTGAAAGATTCCCCAGGCAGACGCAATTTCGTGCCCTATACAAGTTCAGAGGCGGAACATTGAATATCTGTCTTTAAGCTCGTTCCGATACCTAAGAGGACGAGCGGTAATGTTTTATAACAATTGTTGTTTTCGTGTGCTCGAATAGCACTTCTAAGTCGGCGATGAAACCGTTCAACTAAACCACTTGATGCTGGGTGGTAGTTGGTAGTGCGTATGCGTTCCGTACCGAGCAGCTGGGTCAGTGAGAATAGTTAATTGGGGAAATTTCTCAAATAAAGCGTGGAGTATATCGTCACGCGAATGAAATACGTCTAAGATTCGGCACGCGTACATCGGAATCCACTGTATTAATGCCACAATTATCGTTATCTACCATACCAGTTGTTGCCCGGATTTTATATATTGAAAAATGTCAATACGGAAATGTGCAACAAAAGTGGATAGATAGATAAAAGACTCACCGTGGTAGTCTTCTTTGCGAGAATTTCTAGAGGTTGAGACGTGTTCCCAGATTTGGCTCACCAGTTGTAGTGTGGTGTCGAGTCGCGGTTGACTATGATCATCACTACAGGAAGACTACGTGCCAATTAACCGATAAGATCCTCCGTAAGCCAAATATCAGAAGGCAGTTGATGGCTTTAGTCAAGATGTATTTGTTGGCGATCTCGTGGTATTGAAAGAATACGGAGATCGTGTCAGGCTACAAGTGTGGTTACTGAACGTAACCGAGTTCGTGCAAAGTCACAATCAACGGAAGAATGTATGTATTTTGGTACAGTTAAACAAACAAGTACAGTAAAACAATCACTGGTACAACTGGTTATAATAATAATTGTTTCCATTAGACCAATCTCGTTCTCTTGATAAAAGTAGGTCCTTACAACCGTATAACAGAAAGGACATTATTACAGAGATGTAATGAAAAGGTAGGTAGAAGGAATAGAGTGCGGCCACCTCCACATGGGCGAGTTCATGTCGTGCAGTTAACTGATGGGCGTTGGTCGGGGATCAATGGACTGCTCGACATTCAGTGACCTAACTGCAGGATGATTTTGGTAGGACTCAATGGTGTTTCATTGGCCCACAGACCATCAACCAGGAATCTGCAACCAACTCTGTTCCGAGCCGATGGAGTAACCGTAGGTTGTTCGTCCTTGTAAAGTGGAGGAAGTAGTATTCGGAGTCCACCTTTCGTCAGCTATACGTTTTGGTGGTTTTCATCTGGTCATCAATAGCATGTGGCTTGACTTAATGTATAAATCTTGTCTAGTGGTTGACTATTTCTTTATGTATCAGAATTGATTATCATCATTGTCACTATTCAAACTGACACAGTCAAGGTTTCTTTCAAACTCATAGAGCTGGATCCAATTTCTCAATATATGACTCAATGGATATGTACTAAGAGGCCTCTAAGCTTCTTTGTTCATTTAGTTACACGGGATTGAAGGCTTTAAGGCCGTAATGAACATAAGACCTGTCAGCTCGGCGTATTCGGGTGTGTTTTGAGAATACATCTAGGTTTCCAAGCGAAAAAATAACCAAGTATTGTAGCACTTACTTGGAAAATTTGATATAGACTATAATTTATGGACGACCTTTGAGCGACACTAGACTGACCTTGAGAGTGTTCACCCGATGACAAGGACCAAATGGGGCTTATAAACCATTGTGAGGAATTTGAATTAAAATTAGCATCATCTGATGGATGATTTTTTGACATTTGATGATGGCTTATTCGAGTCCAATGAGTGCAAAGAAGGTTTTTTATCTGTCTTTCATCCAAATGAAGTGGGAAATCTAGTTGGTTATCGCAATATACTGTGAATTAATTCACCTTTCGCAGGAATTTTTATCAGGCAGCGATGAGGAGTGTTTAAAGTCTTCAAGCGATTGGCTTTATTTATCGAAGAAGTACGACGATTGTCTGCAGTGTTTGCTTAGACTGTGGGGTTTGTTTAATTCGTTAACAAATTTTATTTTATTTTTAATACGTAGACCGTGTTCATAATTACAATGGGCTTCTTAAGAGAATTACTGCTGATGCTATTGTTAGGTGCTGTTTGAAACTGAACAAACGATGTGAATTGCTTCCTTATCTCCAACAGCACGTAATTCTCTATAATAATCTATATTATTAGAAAGAGCCAATTATCAGTAAGCTATGAGGATTATATTGGACACTTGATGCTTCATTTTACTTGTTCAATAAACGAAACAACGCAAGGTATCATGTTTGTTAAAATAATTTTTATCTTAGTCTGTGAACTTGATAGTTTCTAGTTTATGGAGGTTGTACTATGAGGTTGTAGGTCAGGGTTGCTATACCTCAATCTTATTCAGTGCCTATGTTTCCAAACAAATTCGGGGTTAATTAGTTTTACAACATCTGTCCCTTATTTTACGTCTGTAGTCTTTTTTTTCTACTAGATATAAATTTTAATAAGGGTGGGATATCTGTCGGACAACAAATCCTCATTTAGCCTGTCAAAGGAAACTTTCTGTAAGACATAAAGGTACAGTGTGTCGCCTAATACGATTGTAAGTTGACTCAAATAATCGCTCTTCGTATGTATGCTTTCAGAAATAATCCTCACGTAAATCAGGAATTGATGTTGTTAACGGTTGTAGAAAGCTAAGAAAAAGCGTGTTTGTCGATTCGTAACCATCTTCCGTACTTTTTAAGTTGCTAAATCGACCACCAATCTATTCAGGTTAGTGAAGCATTCAAATCACTCAAATAATTCACTCTGTGATGTCAAATTAGATATTGACATTCCTCAGTTAAAAAGATAGAAGCACGTTTCAAGTATTCTCGCACCCTCTAAAGATGTACGGCGGACGAGTTTATTAGCTTTCACCCTAACAAAATTATATCTTTGTACGATAAAAGAACCTCTAGCTAGATCGATTTCACAAAGGTTGGGCATAAAATGTGTGATATTTATGAACGTATCTGTGGTATAGTTAAGTAAAGATTGAGACTGGGAACACTTAGAAAAATTTATTTTACGTGAGACATCTCACAGCATAACTTGTCGTAAGCTCTGATACGGTCGCCATTATTCAAGCAAGTAACCTTCAGTGAACAATGAACCCATCAAGTTATAAACTTACACTTTAGCTTATTTAGTATTTATTTATTTGTGTGGACGCAAATACCATTCCAAATAGGGACTAAAATGAACATGGACTACACGAATAAAAAAGTAAAATTGTGGAGAGGTGAGGGTAAGTATAATCCAAAAACAACTAAATAAATGGGGGTAGCGCAATCGGTAGATATGGAGGACCCACCTAAGAGAGTTGGAAACCACTGACACCAAATCAGTGGTGCACATGGACTTCCATACCCTAAGGGGTTGATTAGCGTATGAACATATCTTTGACCACTGAATACCATAAGGTTGCATTTCCTGATGTTGCTTCACTGCTTTGCGGATTAGACCTCCAGTTCACCAGTTCAGAAAGTACCATTATCCTAACTCTCATAAATATAACAATGAGTAAATATTAGATTAGTCCACTTGCTCCGCTTCTTTAATGCGACATAGTTATCTTTACATATTTCCCCCTTTAAAGCTGTGTTTCGATGACTACTAAATATTCACAGTTTAGGTGTCAGTATGGAGTATGAATTCTGTTTACTTTGTGTTTGGCTTTCCCTCTTATTTTACACACAGATCGAATTAATTTACTCCAGCGTCTTCTATTGGCACTTCCCCCATCATTTGTTGACGATTCATCAATATTTATTCATGAAAATCTATTTAAACACTCTCAATTATGGATCGACTTATCAGTTGCTTGGGATCAAATTCAGATAGAGACTAGGACAATGTATTGTCCTGCATGGTTTTCTAAGGTAGCATTATTGTATGCTGAACTTGTTAATACTAATTCAGTAAGTGTTTGTTGGTGATCTGTGGAAAAATGTTGAGTCTTCGCTTGATAAGTAAAAACATACCCTACTAGGGTTTGTCTACAGTGATCATTAAAATGTTTTTAAACAAAGATACTGCGCCTGTACCTTGCGAGCAAAAATATGAACGCCAATTTTTATATCAGTACACCTGCTGTGATTAACATTCATTAATAAGTGTAGTAGTAGGATAATTATCTAGTTATGAGGATGTACTTTACGGGGGCAACACAGCTGAGATTTTCACCCCCAAATGCCCTGGTACGGCCAAGGGTGGGGAGAGTCGAGATGCTCTCATATGACCACGCGTATACAGCCATTACTAGGGAAGTGCTATCCACTTCTCGCGACGTGGGTGTTGTTTACTAAATTGAGAGGACGAAAAGCGAATGTCCGGCGCTTTAAGCGGGTTAGTGGACACTGAAGATCCACCTAGGGGAGTTGAAAAACCCTGATCGCAAACCAATGGTGCACATGAGTTCCAAGGTCCTGAGGAAACAAATGGTGTATGAACCTATTGTTGGTCACAGGCTACTATGGGACTACATCTCCTTAAGTTGCCCCACTGCCTTATGGACTAGACCTCTAGGTCAAAGTCTCGAGGAGTGGCCTGTTAAGAAAACCACGCACTTCGATTTGGGCACCCGGGCAGTATCCCAGCCCTCCTTGTACCAATGTTTATGTGTATAAATAAATAAATAAATAAAATACATCTAATGGTCAGCTTTAATAACATACATATTTGATTATCAGATAGTCACATTAGACAAGTGCTAAGTATGACTATGTTTAAAAGACTCGCTCGCATCATGTAGGGCATATCTCATGAAATGCATGAGGTTGATATGTTATCTATAGGTGGATTTAGAGGATTTTTCTGCCCTTAATTATTTTTGACCAGTAATCTCCATTAGGTGTTTACAATAAATTAAAATCACCCACACATCGTGCTGAAATTTAAACGATATGAGAAGACTTTCATAAAAGAGTTTCTCGGATTAAAGTATGTAAGACTTATGGTTTTACCATTTGCAGACAGTTCTCTAGCATATCGTGGTACTGCATTATATTTGGGTTCTGTCACAAGCTCATTTGTATTTGAATATAATTGGTATTTAATACATAGAAATAAATTACGATAGTTCCTACTTATTTATGATATCAAGGGATTTTTAAACAGAAAAACTGTGACATATGGAAATACAAAAGCGATTGGTTATATATTTGTGCTAAATAACATAGCCACTATCATTTCCTTTCATTATATTGTTAGATAAAAATCTTGTGTACATAATAAACCTTTGGGATAGATAAAATACGGCTGGCAGAGAAATACAAGACCCGCTTTTTGCCTTGTCTAGGACTTGTCACATGGATGTACCTATCACATCGTAGTGTCTTTCACCTCTAATGTCTAATGCATCATCCACTGAGCTATTGAGTCTAAGTAGGTACTAACTTGTACGATATTTGTATGATTATTAGTATTAGTTTGAGTTATCTTGTTGTTGATATTCAGAAGTGACAGTTTATCAGTCCTTATTAATATATATATGCATTCTGCGCGGATCGTCTTGATGTAGACACAGTATTACAGCTTATTTTAAGTAAATGGATTTTAGCTAGCAGTGAAATCCATCTCTAGTGTTATTTTCTAAATTAATCTGTTCGTGGCACCCATGCTGTAGTGTATTGTGCTCTATCTCAATTCATTTTTGTGAACACATATATAACAAAACTGCAAATGAAGTTACTGGTGTCCTCAAAACATTACTTACATATTCGGAAGCTGTCAAAAAATCCGATTCCTGTTCCTTAAGAGTTATAATCAGAACCGTTAACATTGCATTTGAGAGTTCTGTGCATCATACACTAGTCTGATAATTAATTTGATTTTAAATTAGCTCCCGAAATGATTTGGTAAACGTGTATTATTTATACTGTTCTAGTTTGAAAAGTTCTATCTTTTTTTCTCAGCAAACACCGATCATTCCTTTCACTAGCCGTATCAAGTATCCATTACAATTCATTAACATAAAGATTACGTAAATATTTCTTTCTTTTCATTAGAAGTTAAATGAAACTTCACTTACATGGACTGATAAATTTCTTAATCCTTTACAAATCGAAATATGTCGTGTAAGTTAAAGATTTCTTGATGTGAAATAAACAGTTATTATGACAGAATCCATACAGCTTTCATACAGGGTCATATAGTGTACTATGAATTAGAAATGGTATTGAAACATGGATAATTGTCTATCCAGATTAAAGTAGGTTAGGTAGGATTTGAATATGACTAAGATATTCCTGGTGTAAATGAATTATTTATCATTTCTCGATTTCATTATGGAATGTATATGTTGAATACAAATATAAATTACGATAAAACAGAAATATCCAGTATATAAATACCACAGATGATTAATGAGCATAACATAATCATAGAAATAGAGTTATCTGTTTATGAAATTTTATCGTTATGAATGACTTTCCAGCCAGTTCTTAAATTTATCTCAATACTTTTGTTCACACCGTGCAGATCGCTTCTTCATCATAAAGAAACTTGTACTGAAGACTAACGTAGGTCTTTTCTGTCATGCTGGAATGAGAAGACTCGGTCACCTGTATAAGGCGATCAGTTATCGTCTGATGAAAGTGTGGTGAATTACACTGTTCTAAATTTCCAGTCAGTCATCAACGTAGGGCTTGGTACAAATGTACCGTGTTCCAACTTGTCGTACCACATTAATACGACGAGATGAATTAAACTACTTAACTATTTGTATATTATTACATTGAACAGTGTATTATTTTCATAACGTGAAGTATTTGTTTTATTTCTTGTCCTAGAAACTATCATTACGTATTTTAACTACATGTAGCAGTAGTGGTAGTTCTTCAACAGGCCCATCTGCTACTACAATGCTAAGTAAAGATAACGGTGCATCTAGTCACGAAAATGGTGTACAATTCAATGGCGTTACTGTTACTTATGAACTGCCGTATATTCCTAGTCAGAAATGCTGTTCTACTAATACTACTATAGACACTAACATTCAAGATGAAGTCGGACACGTGTTCTTCCAAGTATTTATTGCTCCATTCATGAGTATTTATGAAAAATCAATTTAGAAAACACCAGTAATTTTTTGCAGTTGTTTTACACACACTTGTAATTATAAAGAAAGCTCCCGTTTTTTCCAAAGAATCTGTTTTGTTAGCAAATTAGTCACTTCGATTTAGATTTTTTTGATAATCATTGTGAACGTGTGTTTACCCGAAATTTTTTCTGTATATTTCAAACGTTACTAGGTACTCTTCAAAAATAATCATGTCTCACTTTATGTGTATTATGTTGTTTCGGGCTTTGTTAGGTTTGTATGGGAGTAAGTTGGAAGGAAGCTAGGGGTGGCGAGATGAACATATGGCATCAGTCCCTGAAGTCATTGACTATTAATCTGAACCATGTTTAGTGGATGCTAACGAACCGCAATTGGTGATTAGAGGCGTTAGATGACATGGCTTGGAGTGGGTTTCAGTGAAGCACGTGCAGTCATTCTTTGTCTTATTCTAGATCCTGAATTCCAATATTCTTTCATATATACCTTCCCATTTTGTCTTCCCAAACCATGTTATCAATCCCCAGTCTTTCTGATTATTATTGTTACTACATTATCCCTCCCCTCTTCCTGTTCATCCTTTTACATTCAATCTGTTGTGCTAGTGTGTATGGTAGGTTGGGGCAATGCATACGTTTTTGCCAGGTTATACTTCGATTATGATAATGATAACTATGTTATCAGGTGACAATTAAAGAGAGACTATCATTGATCATAAACCACACTGTGTGTATCATCAAATCACTAGTTTCAGTCATCTCTCATAACAACCAGTAGATCTGTAGTGAGATTAAAACTGCTTTATACCTTTATTTCCACGAACTAATTCTTTCTTCCTGTATTATATCTTTATACACAGTCTTTCTTACCATTGAAGTAACTACTATGAACTTGGTGTTCATTTTGTGCTAATGAAGTGTGGCAACTTGGACCGATGCATATATGTACCTGGTCCTATGTTGTAGCTAACTGACACACTTCCTACTTTTAATCAAGATGGAAAATTAGTCGGCATGGTAGTGAATCTTCATAAACTAAAGTGGTTGGGGTATGTTACGTTTTCACAACTACCGCCTACCTTGACAACCAATACTTGCTAGTACAGAAGTGGGTTGGAAGAAATCTAGAGGCAGTCAACCCAAAATATGACATCAGTCTATGAAGTCATTAGCATTTGGTTTGAGCCATGTTAATAACTGTAGTTTACCTAGTTGGGGTTCGCGTGATTGTCGTAACCAGTAGTTAAAGACTTTGGGTGACATGGTTCAGAATCTTCCACAAGTGCATGAATTCATTGCCTTCTCTTAGTCCCTTAGTCTCAAAACCTTACTTTTTTTGTTTCTACACGATGTTTCCTATTATTGCTGATACTGTTGTTACTACTGCTCTGGGACTTATCTAGATACTTCTATCCCCCTGTACTAATGTGGTGTGGAAATGAGTCGAAGCATGTTTCTGGTTCAACTCTGCATATAACCGACTTTTAATTTCAATTTCGTTGCGTAGTTGACCGGGAAGCCTGATAGTCAGAACGCGCTAAGGAGTTGGGAGCATCAGCTGATTCTGGTAACTGTCAGAGGCTCAACTCGTTCGAGTCACTGGCAACAAAAAGTCTGGTATAAGTGAAACAATCCGTGAAGCTAATGGGATATCAATCAATATCATCTAAAGATGCTTAGTTCAATGGCCAGAGTTTTACAAGGAACAGTACGGCTTGTCTGCTACCCTGGTGACATCGATCGAACCGTCCTGCCCTCCATGGCTGATGATGACTGATCCACATAACGAGGCGGAAGTCCACAAGGAACTCCAACTCTTGAGACACCACAAATCATCAGGCCCAGATGGCTTGCCTCCGGTCCTTTTTAAAGGTGATGGGGACCTAGTGAAAGAAGTGGTAGATTCGTCTCCAGACTTCTGGTAATTAAAGAGTATTTTAGCATTGTAGAATGGGTCGATATTTGCCCCTATCTTTAAGAAGGGTCCACGTTGTTTCTGCAACAACTACCAGGGGATAAGTCTACTACCGATCGGGTCCAAAATATTGGCTTCCGTCATACTCCGTAGATTGCTTAAAACCCGGCAAAGACTGACTCTCGGGGAGGAGACTAGTTTTCGTTCTGATAGGATGCAATGATCATATCTTCTCCCTCCTCCATCGTCATACTTATTACAGGTCAATAACCATGATGTTTGGCATTAGGGCCGCTTTCTGTTCGTTAGATAGGACTGTTCGCTGGGATTGTCCATTGAAGAAGAGTGTGGTTGACAAGATTACTAGCATCTTGAAAGACCTATATGCGAACACCCCGGGCCGAGTAAGGCCATACAATCACCGCTCTCCATAATTTCTTTCAAGCAATGGAGTTAAGCAGGGTCGCCCAATCTCACCATTCCTCAACTTTGTCATCGATGATGTTCTGGAAACAGTTCTGATGGATGCAGATAGTGGTGGTGTGGTTCTGTTGCTTAGAGAAAGACTTTGAGCTTGCAGATGATATTGTCTTACTGTGCGATAATACTCGATCCACACATTCCGCACTTGATCAATGTTCATAGGTATGGCATATGCTTTGCACCTTCGAAGTGCAAAGTACCTTTACAAGACTGACAGGACCCCTGATCCTGCGCTCACCCCGGGTAGTGAGCAGATAGAAGTAGTTGGGAAGTTCGTGTATCTAGGTAGCTGCACAGGTGCTGGTTGTGGCGTGGATAATGAGATCAATTGACGTATGGTGAGAGCCAGAGCGGCTTATGCAAATCTGGACCACCTTTGGTGCCTTCGTGATGTCAGTCTGAGTGCAGAAGGTTAGATCTACAAAGCGTTTGTGAGAGCAGGTTTGCTCTATGCTTGTGAAACCTGGCCTCTCCGAGTTGAGGGTGTTAAACGACTCTCCATGTTTGATAATCGTTGTCTCTGAGGGATTGCAGCAGTATATGTGAATGAATGTTCGGATATTCATTTAAACACATTGATCACTGAATAATATCCCATGTCATATTTGTTTAGTTGTTTTAATATATGTTTAATTTTGTCGATCAAATAATGGTGTGGTTATTGGTCTAGTTGGTTTTATATGTTTTGATTTTAGGAGGCTAAAGGTGATAAGCGGGAATTCCTAAAAACGAGTTTCGTATTAACTGGTTCTCATCACTAAATGACGATAGCTTATCAATATTTTTCTTACTTACAATTGATTGATGACTGAATAACAACCAATGTCATGTGTGTAGATCCCCTCTTAGTGTTAAATGAATTTTATCGACCTAGCTTCAATACAGGCAGTAATCAAAGTGACTCGATATCGTGTGGACTATGCTGAGATGTAAGATGGTGATTGAATGTAGTCGATAAGGAAATCTGGACCTAGGTGTTGTGTTATTCAGTACTCATCAGCAAGGTGTACCTGTAATTTTTTAAAAACTGGTGCAACTTGATCGATAGAATCCCACCAGCACTAAGAAGGACATGACAGATATGATATTATTTACTTCTGAGTGATCGACCAATTTTAAATACGACTCAGTCCTAGTGGTCACATTTCTAATTACAAAACTAGGTAACACGTGATTGAGTTAATCGGGTAGCGTCAGTCCCATCAACATTAGAGGTACACCTTGTACACAATAAAGCCAAAAAGTGACTGTGAACGTGGGAGACAATAATCAAAACGAGACCTAGGTTCAGAGTTTTCTATCAACTACCTCCAATCACTAACTTATCATTTCTAAAATATGTTTTCTCTGCGTATCCCTCATAATGTGTTACTGTGATTTCATTTTGCTGTCTTTTTTGTTTAATTTTTTATATGACGCAATAAATAGTGTCTTTTGAAAAAAAAAGTTGTCACTATGTGCAATATCACTAGTTCCCTTTCAATACACAAAACTAAGCTGTTTCTTGTTCATACAATCAGTTAGAAAATATGAGAATGTTGAAATACTGGGTTACTAATTATCATTAACGAATGTGTAAATGTAATTCAACTAAATCTACATGCTTTGATAAACTCATCTTCAATAAAACTGTGGCCTTGTATTTATAAATTTAGACGTGTATTCTTCAATCGGCCTATTGATTTAAATGTAATTCACAAAACAAACTGATTTCTGGAACTGTCTCCTACGTAAAGGTTTGAATAGCAGACACCATCAAATGAACCAATCACATGTCATGTTAATCTTTATCCTTATTGGTTAATCATTGATTTGATAATTTTATTCGCACATAAGTGAAGAAAATAAATCAAGGTTTTAGCCTGAACTATTTCTATTGAAATGAGACGTGTTGTTATTCAATGTCAACACGATGACGATATTCCAATAATAATGGAAATAATCAATTCGGTAAGTGTAAACAATTTTCAACATTATTTATGTGTTTAAGTTGGACTGTTAGATCCATCTATCTAAGAGGTAACATTGTAAAACAATCCGCTTATTTTAAAGTATAATATTATAATAAATTAACGTCAATTACAAATCTACTGAAATATAATTAACCTTGGATAAGGTATCTGTTTCATCCTAGTAAGGGACACCTCCATAGTATTCACCCATTATCTCATGAGGCATTGGATTTGAAAACCTTTAGTTATCATTAAGCCACTGATTTGAAAGTAAATGACTTTGGATAAGTAATTCTACATTGTATGGAGTAATGAGTATATACTACAGTGAATTACCAAACAATGACTAAATAATTGTTTAATACTATCTAGTTATCAACATTGTTCACCATAGATTCTGATAGTGATGAAGACAATTTTTCAAACGTTAAATACGCATTGTTTTGTAAATAATATCAGTTAAGATTGCCTTATAGAAAATATAGTTTTATTTCAATATCTTGTAACTCACTAACTTGGGTACAAGGTTGTGTACTCATCTTCTAGCTTCTTATACTGAGTAAATGAGACAAGATTCTAATTTGTGTTTTAATCATTGGAATTTATCAAACTTTATCAACTTTAACTTAGAGTTATATATAGTAGCAGAAATTTCAATGAAAATCTGTTGAATGAATCATAAAATTACTCATTATTAATTGAGTAGGTTGTCTTGACAAGATTCATCCAAATTTAAGGTAGATCATAACACAAGCTGTTAATTATTCATGGATAATTTTGAATAGTTCACTTCTATCTAACATTTCTTTTGATAATGATAATATTATCAGAAGGGGTTTTGTGGAGATTTTAGAAATTTCACTGATTGAAATCATCAGTCAATTGAAGCTAGACCACCATGGAAAACCTGGAAGCACTGGACGGCCTGGAGTTCTAGTGAGAAGCCGTTACCAATGGAGTTCAACCAAGTCTGTTGTGAGATATCAACTCACTGAAGACAATAGTGTACGGTGGCGCAATTTCGTGGATTGGTTGAAGTTAGACATTAACACCGTCGGATGCCGGCTCAGTGGTCTAGTTGGTTAAGCGCCTGGCGCGAGACTGATAGGTCCTGGGTTCAAATCTCGCAGGGGGTGCGGGATCTTGGATGCGCGCTGTTAAGGAGTCCATAATGGGACGAAACGGCCGTACAGTTCTCCCAGGTTTTCCATGGTGGTCTAGCTTCGATTGACTCATGATTTCGATCAATGATAATATTGTCTAGAAAGAAACTGAAAATTCAGTGAAAACAGTATCAAAAATGTAACAATGATCCTTATCTTTCCAAGTTTTCCACTTAAAACTATATATCAATTAAAATACCATAAATGTAGTTCCCTTACCTATCTTATTGATTCCCTAACAAAATCTATTCTAGTATAGTAAATCAAAATCTAAAAGAATGTTAAAATATTGATTACTTACTTATGCCTCTTATCCCTAGTGAAGGATCATAAACCGGTCACCAGTAAAATATATTGATTAGTTAGTTAACAAAAACAGAAGTACAATATTTATTCCCATTTATTATAATTATTAGGTATATTTTAACTGCTGACTAAAGAAATATGTTTATTAATTGTTCAATCTATCTCATTCTTCATTATGAGTATTTATTACTTATTAGTTAAATATTGAATAGATTACTTTAAGCAAGCAATGATGAGACATATATATGCCTTTTCTTCAATCAATAAAACTATCAAAATAATAATCGACACAGTAAATATTTGTTCATATACATTTTATTGTACAGTTTATTCATTTCTAAACGACTATCTAGTGCTTCCAGGTTTTTCATAGTGATGTAGCTTCAATGGATTCATGTATTCAACTATTATATTGTTTTGATTGTTGAATAGACTTTCTCAGGGTGATTTATATCATATAGAGTGATGATTAATTAACAAAAAAAATAGTAGGGAGGATTGAAAGGTTATTTTGTCCGTTACATTGTATAGATAATTGAACATCGGACATTCAGATTCATTGTCGAATATGTGTAACCTTTAAGTCATTGATTTAAAATTCATTAATCTGAAAACCACAATAAAACAATTCATATATATATATATATATATATATATATGTGATATAATATAATGTATATATATAATATATATATACAATGTGTAATTGAATGGTTTAGAAAAAGATGTGGATGGTGGGGTTTATCAAGTGTGTCTGATGTTAAACGGATATAATATCTTAATAGTTGAATTCATGAGTCGATCTAAGCTAGACTACCGTTGAAAACCTAAAAGCACTGGACAGTCGTTTCGTTCTAGTATAGGACTCCTCATCAGTGCGCATTCACGATCCCGCACGTGGGACTTGAACCCAGTATCACCGGCCTCACATGCGAGAGTTTAATCTCTAGACCACTGAGCCGGCATCCAACGGTGTTAATGTGTAATTTCAATCGATCCATGATCTTGCATAACCCTTCATCTATTATCTGAGATGGATACCTGTCTCTACTCGACATGGATTAGACTCCACTGGTCACGGCTTCTTACTAGCATTTATTTTTTTTTCATATCTTTTACTGTCTTTAGTTATCAACCAATTAGCTAGAAAAGTGACACTCATCTTTGCATCAGAAATATTCTTATAATGTAATTGCTCAGACTTATTATTTAGAATGAGTTCTAGTTTTGTAGTTTACCGTTACAATTACGTATGTTTTGAAACTAAATAAAGACGTTATTTGTAACTGCTCTTCTATGTCTTTTCTGTTCTTTCTCAATGTTTGCAAAAGTGGAAATTTACGTGCCCTATAAATCCACTGATAATCACAGTAATGAATTAAGTGACCTTATCATTAATAATTTAAGTGATCCGATAATATCAGTTTATGAATCCCATTAATATACTTAGAGTATAGAGAAACATTTAACATTAAAAATTTGTATAATATATTTATTGTCATTTAATAACTAATAAATAAGAAGTCTATAGAAATGCTTGAAGAATTCAATTTGACTAGCTTATTAAATATACCATACATTAAGAGAGAAAAAATGTAATAATTGATAATGTTTCTTTTAAGTAAAAAAAAAAGACGAAGATTAATTTACATCAATATTCATTCGCATTCTTTACAGAAACTTTTATTGATCAATATTGCATGGTTGACCTTCAGAAACATTTGTCTTAATACAAGACTAGTATCCATGGTAGAAATAGCGGTTAATTTAAAGCATAGTCGATGTATGCATTAATTCAATATATATATATATATATATATATATATATATATCGATTATTCATGAATCACAAAACAAAAAATCAAACTATTCATTTTAATTACTATTATAGGGGTTGTGTAGATTATTAAGTTTTTGATTGAGATCATGAACCGATTGATGTTAGATCACCTTTGGAAACCTTGAAGCACTGGACGGCCGTTTCGTCCTATTGTGGAACTCCTCAGCGGTGCGCATCCACGATCCCGCTCGTGGGATTCGAACCCAGGGTCTTCGGTCTCGCGAGCGAATGCTTAACCTACTGGACCACTAAGCCAACATCCAATGGTGATAGTATCTAACACCAACCAATCCACGAAATTGCGCTACCATCTTCCATTGTACTGAGGTAGATACCTGACTCTACCCGACATGGATTAGCTCCACTGGTCACGGCTTCTCACTAGAACTCCGAGAATTCCCTCACGAACCTAGTTGCTAGTGAACACATGGTAATTACTAGTATAAGGGGTTGTGGAGATGATTAAGTTTTTGATTGAGATCATTTTAACATTGATACTCAACAAGATATGATCACTAAAATTAAATTGATCTAAATAAAAAGTAATTTTATTAATTTAAAATGATTGTTTGTTTATTAACCAATTACATCCTATTGTAATCATTAGTAATTATATACAATAACTAATTAATATAAAAGAACTGTTTATGAAAAGAATGATGGTAATTTTCAATGTAAACTTGTAATCATCCATTTAGTGATTCATAATAAAATGCTGAGGAGTTTCACAATAGAACGGAACAGCCGTCCAGTGCTTCCAGGTTTTCCATGGTGGTCTAGCTTCAACTGACTTATGATCTCAACCATTGAAATTAAATATCAGTTGATTTATAGTAACTAAAATCAGTTATAATAAAATATAATTAATAGTGAAAATTAATTAATCAAATTAAACATTGAGAATATCCTTACTGATTTGTTATTTTTAGCAGTTTATTTTAGAACTGATAAATTTGAAGTGTATGTGGTGGGGAGGTTTGTGGAATTCAAGGAATTTGTTTGATAAAAAAAGGATTTGGTTTTATAGTTATTGAGATCGCTTCTCAATATGAGATTGAAACAAAACTGTAGTTTTGGATTAGTTATTCTGAATTTGAATGACCTTGAAACAAAATCTAAGAACTAATATGAATTGTTATTTATCAGGAGATCGAGTATAGTCGATATGCAATCATGCTGGATTTGGATTATGTGCTAGTTTGAACTCATCAACTAGATATATCTCTAATCTTTAGGGAATTGTTGCTTCATTTTGGAATCGAACATGTGTCACCTGGTCTTGCAGTTTGAGGTAATTCCATTGTCTACTTGGACCATGACTGGCCTCCTGATTTTTTATTTGGAACATCAGATACTTTTATTTCAATCAATTTTGTGGAAGAAAAGTAGTTGCTATACAGCAAGAGTAACATCGTTGAATTGATCGCGGAATCACATATTTCAGAAATTTCTCAAACAATGATGACGCAATTATTTTCAACAATTTAACGACAAAGTTAGAGGTGATATCAGTGCTAGGAAACCGTAATTGTCTCAATAATAATTCACTGAATTAAAGGAAATACAAACTGAGATATCATTGTTAGTATGTAGTCGTGGAGATTGTTGAATTTTATTGAAACAGATCTAAGTCAGAGAACCAGTAAAATCCAGGAAGTATCGGGCTCCCATTTCGTCCTAGTATAGATC